GCGGTTGAAGCTACACTGCGCATTTATTGTGCGTCGCTCTCCCAACCAACCGTTACAATAGCAAGTTAGCTTTGGGTGCAGCATAAATTATGTGGGTCAATATTTTATTAGAGTTGCTGTACGAACAAGTTATTTATTTACAGGCTATATACAAGATTGTTCTATCATATGATCTTCCTTTTACTTGCCACTTCCGCCTACTATTATACATGCAGTAAAAATGAGGTAATTTATTGATCAAGCAATAAAGTTAGAATGTCGTGAGGATAAGGTAATGAATGAAAAGAATGTAGTAATGGGAAGAAATGAAAAAGTATTGCGTAAGGATGGGTAATGAAGTAAAAATCAACGAAAAATGTAGTAATCAGGCTTTTCGATGTAGTCATAGAAATGTAATTACTGTACTTTACTGCGTAATTTCTTTGTCGATCATAATGTGAAAAAATTTTGCGTAACAATGTTCTGGATTGTAGATCACGATAATCTGTCAGTGCTACTAAAATTATTTAAATAATTGAAAGTAGCAAGAAAAAGTTTTCAGATTTTAAACGCTAAAGAACAAACATTATTAATACCATTTCAAATAATACTTTCAAATAATCCGAAACCATTATGCGAATATACATCATATATCAACTCGATACACATTTGTTCGGACGATGGAATATTCGATTGGATCAAGCATGAAAGATATGACATAAAAAATCCTTAATTAGAATGTTCTTACGAATAAGCCATAGGGTTAAAGACTTAATATTTTTTGAAATCAATCACGATCAATTTATTAATGTATTAGTAAAAACCCTTATTATAATATAAATAGAACATTAACTACACTAGGCTTTTCATGTAATCAACTTGGCTCCAAAGGATTGGTGTTGCTAGCTGAAAGAGCAAAACTTATATAGCGGTGATGGTCAGCTTGGGCTTCATGAATCAAGAGCATTAGCGGAGATTTTTCTATTGCAGGCAGATTTTAATGCAAAGATAAACAAGAAAAAAACAATTTATGAAGCAAAAATTAGGCAATTCGCCAGAGGCAAAATGTTTAGAATTAATAACTTTAAGATTTATTTGGTTGGTTCTTATAGCGTTTATAACATTAAGAAGCATATAAGATCTTAACAATGTGGCTCAAGCAATCAAATCATCTTTAATTCGAATGTTCTTACAAACGAGCCATTTAATCATGATCAATTTTATTAATGTATTAGCAAAATCCTTATAATAACATTAACTACCCTAGGCTTTTCATGCAATTAACTTGGCTCAAAAGGATTGGTGTTGCTAGTTGAAACACTTTGTAAGAGCAAAACTTTGCCCACTTTATATATCTTTGATGATGGCTTGGGCTTCGCGGATCAAGAATATTAGCGGAGATTCTTCTGTTACAGGCAGATTTTAACGCAAGCATAACAGACAAGAGAAAAACAATTTATGAAGCAAGAATTAGACAATTTTCCAGAGGCGTAACGTGATGATTTAGCGAAATATTCTCAGATGTTTATGACTTTTGTGTTTGTTTATTGAGGCTGTCAAAAAACACCGCATTAACGACTCTGAAGCTTTATCGTGTTGAGATCAGCATTGGTGATGGAATTTATTAGCCAAAGCTGTTTTTTAAAATAAACCTTTGGTTTCATTAGATCTTCATAATAATAAACTTCGAAAGGGGACAGCACTGACGCTGATAAGTGGACTTGGTTCGAATACGATTTTGCACTCGTTGAGTCTGTTAGAAATGCATTAGCCAAAATATTTTATATGAACACCTCTTCAACTTCTTTAAATCTTTCGTACAATCAACTTGGTTTAGAAAAAGTGAAATATTAGCACATTCATTTCTATAAATAACTTTTTAACTCATTTAGATCTTTATTCTAACCAAATCGGTAATGAAGAAGTAAAGGCATTAGCTGATACTTTTTGTAAAAACATCTCGTTACATTTCAAAAAGTACTTTAAACCATATAAATAAGTTATCCGGGCAATTGATTTACACCAACAAAATCATACGAATGTCTACCTATGAACCCATGGGTCAAAACACTACTCAGATCAAATCATGATATATTTTATATTAAGGAAATTGCATAATATAATATTACATATTTTATTTATAAGCAAAAAATGTATATAAAAGTATATCATGGTAGAATATATTACATATTTTATTTGTAAATTATGATTTATATAATAAAAAAACTCCTAAGTTGGTTAAGAAGATTCTTTAAATTTATTTTATATTATTTTATAAATTTCTTCTATTATGGATCCACAAAGTTTTGATTTTCTAAGTCATGAGTTCTTTGAGCGAATACTTCAAATTTTTATTATCGAAGAAAAAATAAACATTGTTTAATAGATGAAAATCATTATAACAAGTGTTTAAATGTATTGAAAAATCCTAACCTGCCACATAATCCAAGTTTTAAGTATTGAGTTATTCATACTTTCAAATTACTTACTATTTGTATGGTTGAGGGATTTTATTTACTAAAAGAATGTATGAATAAATTAGGAACGCAAATTTAACTAAACAAGGAGGATAATAAAACTTGAAAAAGGTAAATTTTTAATTGTTTATATTAAATAAAATTGATAAAATTGATTTAAAAATTAATAGAATTTAATTTTGTAGATTTAGATTCATTAGTAGAGTCAGGTGGACATCAGTATCTTAATACGGCTAAAGCACAAATGTTTATTAATAGACTTCATCCTAAATTGTTTATAGCCATATCGCCCTAACCTCTAATTTGTTAGAAGAAGCATATACCAGAGCAAAGGTATTTGAGAATGCTTATAAACAGAATTCTGTTCAAACTGCTTATGCAACTCCAACAGTATTTCATTCTCCTTATAGTTTCTCTGGAACCCCAAACCTTAATCTCACTAGTTCAAATGAAATGGCTGAGGCTTTGAAAACTTTAACGAATTCAATCAATAAGCTTATGACTCAACTTCAAGATCAGCGAAGGCCACTATCTAGATCTCGGTCTGGAAATTTTACCCCATCTACTGTAACGTGTTTTACTTGTAACCATACTGGACATTATAGTCAAAATTGTCCTGACCTACCTAATAATCATAACTCTTCAGCTAATAATCGGCCGCCTGTAGTTAATAATAATAATAATTTCGGTGTTAATAATAATAATAATTCTACTCTTAATGAAAATGACCCTCAAGAAACTCTGCAAGCCCTATTGGCATTAATGAATAATAATTTAGGCATTTTTAATAATGTCAGGGATCAAACTTCGTATTTAGAAATTCCCGAACATAAGTCATTATTTTTACCAGCAGAAAGGTCTATTCATCTCAAGCCTATAGTAAATATGCTGATTCTTAGGAAAAAGTCAACTAGAACGAAAACAACTGATTTAATCGATCTTGAAGAAGGAGAGAGTACTAAAGATCCAGATGTAGAAATGGAAAAAGTTCATAAAGATCATGAAAGTCAAGAATTACAAGACTCAGTTACTCAAAATCAAGACCAAAACCAAGATAAATCCGTCAAACTACTTGAAGTAAAGAAGGTTAAACTACCTAAAGTAAATAAAAAAAAAGAAGATGTAAAAGTGAGTCAAAAAAAGGTTCCTGTTATTCGACGAAGGAATATTGTGGAGGATGATTTACCCCAAATCTCTTCTTTGGTTACACCATATTCAATAGTAGCCGATGTAAGGGATAAACCTGCCAATATAACTATCAGGCAATTGTTACAAGTTACATCATCCATGAGACAAGAATTATCATGATCCTTACAAAAAAAAAGAGTCGTAAATCATAAAAAGGCTCAAGCCAATGTTAATATACAACCTACCTTAAAATCAATGTCTTTATATTGCGACGCTAAGGTTTATGATCGAGTAATTCCATTAATTGTTGATAGTAGGTTTTCTAGAAGTATTGTTACTTCCTATTTATTGAATGATCTTGGTATAAGAATCAAATGGCCATCGGTAGTAAATATAGTCAATATCCATAGAGAGAGTAAGCATACTATTGGAGAAATTTCTGATTTTCTATTCAATATCGGTGGTGTTAAAATTCCAATTGATGTAGTTGTAACTAATGCCGGTTCGTATTGTGCTATTGTAGGAAATGACTAGTTAGCTAAGGTTAAGGCAGCCATCTATTGGAACAGGTCTGAGATGACTTTGGTCTGAGATGATAAAGAAATTGTTGTTCCAGTTGAGTTTTGAAAATTAGCCAAGGTGCCATTAGACAAGAAATGAGTTGTAAGAATAAGAGACCTTGGAACCGATGATAATGACGAAGTTGAAGAAGAAGATGAGAAAGTCGAAGATGAAGAATTAGAAGAGCAACTGTATGCAATTTTGGAATTTAACGATGAAAGAGGGAATGTTAGAAAAAGGCTAGGCTCAGAATGGGATGAAATTATGATAGAAGAAAG